GATATCTCATAAAAGAATCTAGCTGAATTTGGATGCTTGTTTTTTTCTTTTTCTTTTCAGAATAGATTCTTTACCAACCACCTTGTTTATCCTCCTCTCTCCCCCCACCCACCCCCTCTTCGCTCCCTCCTCCCTCCCCCTATCTCCTCCTCTCTCTCCCTCCCTCCCCCTTCCTCCCCCTTCGTCCCTACACGCATCTCGCGAGGGGGTGATTGATAGAAGCCTCTTCGCCTACCTACCATTCATATTCGTGTGAAACAGGGTAGGGTACATTGCAATCGAACTTAAAAAAAATAAAATAATAATAATAATAATAACAAAAAGAAGAAAATAATAATAAAAAGAAAAAGATAGAACTCATAATAATAATAAAAAATATATATATAAAAAAATCAAAAAAATAATAATAATAAGAAAAAGATAGATCGTCTTCCTGTGGAACCCTCCTCTGAGGCATGGAGATGGGGAGAATGAGGAGGGGGGGGGGGAAGGAAGATGGAATTTTTTAATTTTGTGATGTGATAGGTCTGCTGGCTGACGAGTGCATCATTCACTGAATTACTGTATGATGAGGGTCTGCTCACACTAGGATTTTTTGTACGAATCTCTGGACGTGATTGTGGTCAGATTCATCCACATGGGGTCGTACTTGCAGTCAGATACACTCACGAAAGTTCTACTAGTGTGAGTGTGAGGATGCACTTACTGATGTACTGACCAACGCCAGCGCCAACCACGTTAGTTGTCCTCTCTCTCTCTCTCTCTCGTTATTAAAAAGCACCACCTACTACTCTATGGAAAGTAGAGAGGGCTAAATGACAAATAGAGAAACGTTTTTTTTTTTTTTTTTTAAATACAAATTCCCCAAGTTTTCAGGGTCCATGCTAATCTTCTGTGTATCGTTCCGAATTCCAAGTTTTTTCAACGGATCTCCCAAAGGACAAAACTTTGAAAATAGAGAATTATAACCAGCGCCCATCACATCAATTGTATAATAAATAAATAAATAAATAAATAAATAAATAAATAAATAAATAAATAAAGAAAGAAAGAAAGAAAGAAAAAAAGTCCTCTCCCTCCTACTAGGCACCGGGGCCGTGGTCTCATTAGCAAAGAGCATCGGATTGAATGCCTGAATCTGGACGTGTTTGCGGACAGGAGCAGGAAATCGAGATAGAACTACTTTTCTGTATCTCTGCATAAAACATAGCCAGATTCAGGATTTCTATCCTATCCCCTTCGCTAGTGGGACCACGGCCCGGAAGTTGAATGGATGTCTCCCCCTCTTTTTATTAAAAAGCATCAGAAATTCTTTTGAAAAAAAAAAAAGAGAATTCTATGGTGGTGCCGATCCCATTAGTTGTCGTCTTCCTCTTTTTATTTTTAAAAAAGCACCAGGGAAAAAAA